ACAAGAAAAGCCATTCTGCACAGGACTCTAGTAGCATAAGCCCTAAGACCAACAATCAACAAATAGGAGTTTGTGAGACTAAAAAGCAAAGAACACCATCACTTGAGAGAAGAAGCAGCCTAGAGAATGGGAAACAACCTTACCAGGTACACAGGACAGAAAACAGGTGTATATAAAGAACTAAACAGCAATAAAAAAGAAAACCTGATTTTAAAAAATTGGAGATTTTAAATATGCAAACAGTTTTCAAAAGAAGAAATACAAATCTGAGATTTTTTTCTTTTTGTGTTTTTGTTTTTTTTTTGTTTTGTTTTGTTTTTTTGAGAAAGGGTTTCTCTGTGTAGCTTTGGAGCCTGTCATGGAACTCACTCTGTAGACTTGGTTGTCCTCAAGCTAACAGAGCTCCACCTGCTTCTGTTTTCTGGGTGCTGGGATTAAAGGCATGTGCCACCAACACCCTGCAAGAAAATTTTTGAATGATCAACATCCTTACTCATCAGGGAAAATTCAAATTAAATAGTTAAGCATATAAACAATGAATATTAAAATTATTTTAAGAGTTCATCTTATTCCAGTTATAATGGCTGGAGAAAAGGGCAACATAAGAGAAAATTGACCACTAATGATGACATGGGTGTGGAGACAGGGGGATACATGCTCACAGTTGGTGGTAGTGTAAACTAGTGTATATGGTGATATTTTATTTGTACTGAAATGTGATTTTAATTTTATGTTAATAAATAAAGTTGCCCTGGGGTCAGAGCTATTAGAGCCATAGCAAGAGTGTGGTGGTTAGAAGAGCTAGGTATATTTCTGTGTGTTCAGGGATACAGCCAGTATTGGAGACATATGCCTTTAAGACCTGGAGGGCGGTACTTACAGGCAGTGACGAGGCAGTCATGTGGTTGGGTTTACAACCAATGAGAAGGCAGAACAGAAAGACTATTTAAAGACAGACAAACAGGAAGAAGCTCTCTCGGGGAAGTTAGGAGCACTGAAGGAGGTAAGATTTTATCTCTGAGCTCTGACCTCTCGGCTTTCTCTTTTACATTGGCTCTGTGTTTCTTATTTTAATAAGACCGTTGGTTACATCTACATCTACATTCTACTTTATTAGGTTTCCATAAGGTCCCTCAAATGGCCTTTAATTTTAACTGTCCCTCCTTCTATTTCTTCAGTTGCCCCCTTTCCCTCTCCCTCCTCATTTGACCATCCTGTTCCAGACTCCTTCCTCATCCATCTATAACAATCTATTCTATTCCCCCTTCATAGAGATCTGTCCCTCCCCCCACTCCCTTACTCTATACCTAACATGTGGTTATATAGATTGCACCGTACTTATTGTTTGACTCAACAGCTAACATCTATATAAATGAAAACCCACCATATTTGTCTTTCTGGGTCTGGGTTGTCTCACTCAGTATAACTTTTTCTAGCTCTATCGATTTACCAGTGAATTCCATGATTTCCTTTTTCTTTTAAAACTGCTGAGTAATAACCCATTGTGTAAATGTACCACATTTTCTTTATACACTTATTTGTTGAAGAACACCTAGGGTGTCTCCATTTTCTGCCTATTACACATAGAGAAGCAATGAAATGTTTGAGCAAGGAACCGCCACAATGATTTCTGTAGTGGCTGTACAAGTTTGCATTCCCACCAGCAATGGATGAGTGTTTCCCTTACTCCACATTCCCACCAACAAGAGATGTCATTTGTTTTATTAATCTTATCTATTCTGACTCTTGTAATGTGAATTCTCAAAATAGTTTTGATTTGAATTGCCTTGATGACTAAAATTATTGAATATTTTTAAGTGTTTCCCAGACATTTGGTTTTTCCTTTATTGAAACTTCTCTGTTTAGATCAGTACCTCATTTTTAATTGGCTTAATTGTTTTCCTGATGTTCAGTGTTTTTAGTCCTTTATATATTTTGGATGTTAGCCCTCTATTGGATATGAGTCCAGTAACATTCTTTTCCAATTTTGTAGACTGACATTTGAAATAAAACACCATTAGTGGCAGATTAGATAATGCTCTATGGATGAACCCACAAAGTTGGCAGACACGTTGGAATTAACAGAACTTATTAAGTTGTTTAGTAATAGAACCCTCTATAATAATACATTCTTTACATCAATAATTAAGTAAATATACTTCAAAATATTTTTACTTATTCCTTGAGAATTTCATAGAATGCATTTTAGTCATATTTATCCCCAACTCCTCTGATTTATTCTCCCCATATTTGCCCACACATCTCTGATGACCAAATTTGTGTCTTCTTCATGATATTACTTTTTATAAGGCCAGGAGAAGACTCTTAAAGAATACTGACTCTCTCTGCCAGAAGCCATTATTCATCTATAGGTCATCAATTCAGAGGAGGGCCTCATGAACCCTTCCCACTCCATGCTTGAATATTGACCAGCTTGATATTGTACAAGTGACTACAAGTGCTATGAGCCATGAGTGGAGTGTTCCTTTCATGACCAGAAGACACTGTTTGCTCTAATCCTCCCTGACTTTTGGCTCTTACAATTTTTGTGCCCCATCTTTCATGATGGGCTTTGAGTCTTGTGGAAAGGGTGTGATACAGATGTCTCATCAATCATGGATGAAAACTGTGAAATAAAAACAAAAATATAAAGATGCATACAACAAAGAATTGGTTATTTTAAAGCATTAAAAGATGGGCACACCTTTAGCAAAATTAACCAAAAGGAAGAGGATGGTAAAAATAATAAAACAAAAGAGATTAAAGGAACCATGGAGGATGTTCAACATCTTGGGCCAGAGAGAAGAAGAAGCAGAGCTTTGCTGGGAAGCCTCCTTGAGGGGGCAGGGTGGAGCAAAGCTCAGCTGTAAAGACTTTCTCCAGGAGAGGAGCAGGATTGCTATATCCTGCAGGGAGACCGTTCCCCACCACACCCCTGCTCCAGCTATAGCCTGGCTTCCTGAACAGTCAGGATACTTTTCCCTGCAGAACTGAGCTGTCCCATTGTGGCTCCACCCTCCAGAGCAGTCCTAGCAGCTCCAGAAATAGCCTGGCTTCCTGAACAGTCAGGATATCTTTCCCTCCAGAGTGGAGCTGTCTTATTGTGGCTCCAGCCTCCAGAACTATCCTAACAGCTCCAGGTATAGCCTGACTTCCCAAACAGTCAGGATGCATTTCCCTCCAGAGTTGAGCTGTACTACTGAGACTCCAGTTGTCAGAGCTGTCCTAGCAGCCCCAGCTACAGCCTGACTTCCCAAACAGTCAGGTTACATTTCCCTATAAGAGCTGTAACACTCAGAGTCTGTTGTGTCATCTCTGGAGTATGTTTGGCTCTGGAGTATGATTTGTTTCCTGGTGCCTTTGTCTCAAATCCTACTTCTCTGACCCTCAGAGGAACTTCAAATCCTAATAAACCATTTTTGCTTTGAAAGCAATTGGAGGACCTAGGTATTGTTTACAATGAAGACCACACAGAAGTCATCCCAATTTCTCATGATTTAGGAAGGAGTTTATTTCCCATTCCAAGATGTATGGAGTGAGCAATACATGGTCTGGAGGAGTTCAAGTCAAAATTTACATGACTAAGACCCCCACTCTTGCTGACAGGTCCAGTGTGCTTGCTATTTTAGGCCTTTCTCCTTTTTCTTCAAAAAATATCATTTTCTGCTTAAAAAACCTTTTCCACCATAGGTACTACCAGATAAAACATAATTATTTGAATTTCAAATCTTCAGTTATAGAGAAAGACCAAATTCTTAACTTACTGGGTTTCTAGCTGCTCCCTCTTACTCACGAAAACAAAGACTGGTATTTAATCCTATTTTATCCACCCATGACTGTAAAGAGGCCACTAAAACTCATCATGGCCATGAGATCTACAGCTAATTCGCATGTACCTATTGATTATGCCACTCCTTCCTTTCAATCTCTAATGGAGCCATTCCCTCAAGAATATTAGTAGATGTGATTAAGACTTTGGTAGCTAATTTTGGTTTCAATGTGACTATATCTGGGATTAATTAAAATCCCCAAACAGAAGGCACACCTGTGGGCCATTTTTGCTTAATTTGACGTAGGAAGAACTACTTTAGTCTGGATCTTTGAGTTAGGAAATCACACCCTTAATTCAGATCTTTAATCCAGATGTAATCTGGACCACTCCTTCTGCTGGAAACCTATATCAGGACATGGAAGAAGGAAGCTTTTACTCTTTCTCTGCTTTCTCTCACCTTGTTAGCACATCCATTCCTTCACTGGCATTAGAGAGAGCCTACTTCTTTAAGATTACAGCATATACTGCAGACAGCTGAGACATCAGTCTTGTGTACTGAGATACTACTTGATTGTTGGACATCCCATTCATAGCCTACCATTGTTGGATTATCTAGAGCAATAGCCTATAAACCATTGTAACAAATCTGCTTCCACTATATATATTCATTTTTATAACTTCTGTTAATCTAGAGAGCCCTGACTAATACACCAGGCATGTAGAGAAGACAGTCTAGAGCAGTTTTGTTCTCATAACAGTCTCAGCCCACTTACAAATTCTCAGTGGCCACCTCCCCTTAACCTTAGCCTTCCCCAGTTGCTTGTTCACTCCAGAGGACTCAATCCTCATCCTCCATATCATCCTGACCTAAATTATTGGCGTGCTTTTTCTCATATTATTAAGTATGGATGTTAAGGAGGGGAAGGACCACTCTTGGGCATTGCTTATAAAGTGAGCATTCAACTACCCATGGGTGAAGTAGTGAAAATATTATAATGAAGCATAGAGAAATATCTAGCTTTGGAAGGAGGAGGTGCTGAATGGCTTCCCCTGTGACACAGGAGAAACTCCTGGAAAGGAAACCTCAGCTTCTGGTCAGTTCAGGGAGAACTAACTAGCAAGAATGCAAAGGCTATGCCCCATGACATCAGCAGTCCATTCTCTGGAATTCCATTGTATCTGGAGAGCTCTTGGAATCCCCTGTGATGTCACTAGTGTTGTAGCAACACCAAGTGCCTAATAGGTCTGCTGATAGGTATGTTGTTAAGACTGAGGCATCTACTTGGGAGAGAGAATAGACAGCAAGGAGAAACCAGAGTGAAGAAGAAGGAAGTTGGCCCTCGGTGTGACTGGAAAACATGGAGAAATAAATGTTCCTGGGGAAGATGCAGTGAGTTCAGGGAAGGAACTTGGGAGCTTTCTGGATATGATGGCCTTGAGCATTTCAGGGCTAGGACTCAGGAATTGGAAACTCCTGGAAGGCAATAGAACTATCTTGCTTCTCTGGGTTCCTAAGGTGCTGACCCACAAGCAAGGATTTTGATAGTTTGACAGAGTCAGGAAGTGACAAGGCTATATAGCCTTTGTGCTTGGGACCCTCTGCTTTCATTTTGAGTGTGGAAGGAGGCACAGAGGAATTAATGAGATTTCAATACTATCACTGCACTTTGACGCCACTAGAGTCATTTACATTGTGTACCAGTAATAGTAAAGAAAGGAGAGTGCACTGGCAAAGCCTCAGTAATGCTTTATATCACAACTACTAACAGGCCTGAGGCACTGAGTGCTGTTGTCTTCCAGTGGCCCCTAAGGTTTCTGGCTTCCCCGCTATGGGTGGCACACTCATCTCCAGTTCAGCCTGAGAGCTATTAGAACCAGTAGATCTGGGCAGAGACTGCCCTTCCTGCCAGTTCTGGGTGTCCTGGGCTGGCAGTGAGGATGGCTTTGGGAGTGGTGACTATGTTCTACCCCTGCATGGCTTCTCCAATAACACAAGAGTCTGAAGCGCCAAGCAAGTAATTTAAGAATCCCTACAATACCTGAGTGGTTGTAAAAGTAGCAATTATCTCTGGGCTTCTGACAGCACATGGCTGAGGGCCCTGAAGCCAAGGTGCATCCTTTGCAGCTGTGAGTAAGCCTTATCATATGTTATCATAGGTTTCTGGTGGGCTTAGAATGTGGCACAGATACTTTGGAACTTCTTAGAGAGCTAATCTAGAGCTCCAAGCCCACTGAGAGTGCTCATGAAGCCCTGGGTAACTCTTTTTTTTACCCCCTGCTTCTTCTGGCCTTGAGACAGGATAATACATTACATAAACACCAGGAGGTCCAGAGTATAGGTGCCAGGCTGTGGCATTCACTGGGCTAGGGTAGTCAGGAGAGTGTGGCTTACTATCTGGCTTGTAGGTCAGCTTACACTCATCTAGCTTTCTTATACAAGTTAGGACCACCTTTTTAGGATGTTCTGACCCACAGTGGGCTGGACCTCCCTGCACCTATTAACAGTCATGACAATCCCAAAAACAACTCTGTGTACATCCTCTTCCCCACAGGCCAGAAATCTACAACTAGACAAAATACAAAGAATAAGTGATGATATGGTAACAAAACCAACTGATACATCAGCAATATAACCCCTACGCCTAAGACTGAAGAGAATCACAAAAGAGGTGCAGAAAGACTGTAAGAGCGAGAGAACAAAAAAGGCCTGTGTCTACACAGGGTCCTACAGACATTTCAAGGGAAATGCCCCCACAAGTCTCAAAAACATGGGCTTCTGAGCAAAACCAACATCATGATAACACCAGTCGGCATGGCGACATGGGTGGGGAAAGTCCACACGGTTCTACTCCTAGATGAAGACCTACAGATTGTCAAAGCTGATGACAGAAGTAGAATTGTTTCCTCCAGAGACAAGCTTTCACATAGGTTTTCCAATCCTACTTTGTCATACCTGAACACATGTAAATATGGATGACACAAATGTACTCATTAGGCTGCATACACACTAGAGAGGTGAGTGTAGACTGGGAATATTTGGAGGAAGAGAAGACTGGCAGAAGTGGGATGGGAACAAGGGAAGGGGATGAGTTGAATATGAGCAAATAATGATATGTGTGAATAACAATGTTATAGAGAAACACATTATTGTTCACAGTAAATTAAAAAATGAGATTTTCTTAGTAATTTTGATCTCTTCTCTTGGGAGATCTACTAAACAGAAATTAAAATGAATGTAAACAAGCACATATATGTCTTACACTAATTCAGAAAACTGGGTTTCCAGTAAGACTTGATGGCAGTCTCTAAATAGGAGTGCAGGGAAAGCTCTGCTATGACAGGCACTTTGCAGAACTGGACAAGGTATTCATTTCCTCACACATACAATTTCTGCTTCTCTAAATAATTTTGTACACTTTTTTTTTTGCACAGGCTGCTAAGCATTTGCAGCCATAATTTTATTTATCCACCATAAATAACGTTGCAGTAGATATTACCAACAATCACACTAGGCACGAGGAAATCAAGCATGGAAATTATGAAGCAGTCTGTCAAATTCCCCTCATCTAATTAGTGGTAGGTCAAGAAGTTTAACTCAAATCTTTTTTTCTCTGGAATGTCACTATGTTATTCAAGGAGGGAAGATTCAAGAACTTTGGCGTATCCAGTAAGCATCAAACAGGAAAACACATGGAAATCACACAGCACAGTAGCTCCAGTACCTCAGACACTTGCTGGGTCTGCTTACCGTGTCCTCCACTGAAGACCAGCAGTCACTCACTGAGGTTGCAGTGTCTGCCCACAAGACAAAGCCCATGGGAAGTCTTCCGAGATCTACTTGGCAGTGGATCCTAAGGACAGCTTTCCCAGCTTCTCCCAGGTGTCTTTGCTCCATCACATGTCTTCGTGCCCATCGAAAAACCTTGTATTACCTTGGAAGGGAGGAGGCCGAGTGGAACATGACAAGAGCTCACTGTGCCATGTTTCCTATGGTGGCTTCTTCTCCATCACTGAGATTTTCTTAGTTGTTCTTTCCTCCCAGGATATATCTGGAGTGTAAAAAGGGGCAGCACATGAACACAAATGCACTTAGCAAAGAAAAACACCATACCTCGGTCAACAAGGCTGAGCCCCATATCTTAAGCAATTTTCTGCTCTCCATCCCAGAACACCCAGGAATTACATTTGGCACTCCTACATGAATCACAGTCACATCCGACAGCAGTGGATCAAACACCACAACCTTCTTTCTGAATCCTCCCGCCATGATTATCACCAAGTTGTAACTTCAGATCAGAAAAGACAGCTGCTGCCACCACTACGTGTTCTCACAATTTAACTCACAAGCACCAGAGGGCAGCCGGGAGCTCTGCTCGAATATCAAAATTCTTCAGATCTCTGGTGGCAGAGGTTCAGTAAAAACTACTTTTGTGTTTCAAAAAGACAAATATTGTATAATTTTCTCATATATAGATCCTAGCTGTTAATGTTTATACATAGAGAGATATGTGGAGGAATGTCACTGGTCACAGAAACAGAAAAGGGCATGAGAAAGAAGAAAAGAGAGCCTAACGCGGGGCTGAAAAAGGAAAAGAAACAGAAAGTTATACAGTAACAAAATACAAGTGACATGAAACCAGAAGGGGCATCAAAGGGAGAGCCAAGGAGCCAGTAGGTGGGGACAAGAGAAGCAGACTTAGCAGTAATGCTGGTGGTCATCTAGAGTTTTACAGAGTACATTCCCAGGAACAGACAAAGAACTAGATGTCAGGGAAAGACAGAACATGAACCTCAGAGGAGGAGGAAGTAAATCTTTATCCTTTAGGGATCAGGGATATTCTAAGCCTGGGAGTTCACTAAACTGATTCTGAGCTGAGTCTTTGGTAGCTCTCTGGGTCCTCCTCTTTCCTCTGTTGGCCTTGTTCAGATACAACACTTTTACCTTCCAACCACTTCCATTCACATGCCTTCGAGGGACCAGAAAATTCCATCTCAGGGAACTGTTACTCTTTCTCATCCACAAATATGACTCTTAACTCTTCTAGAATTTCATTACATTTGGTACTACTTTGTAAGACTGATTTAAGTTATAAATAAAAGTATTCAAGTTATAAATAAAAATTTTGAAAATAAATACTTCCCTATTCCACATTTGGAGTAGGCTAGAGCCTGAAGGAAAAAGGGAAGTCTTCATAGGCAGCTGCATTTGAGTCAAGACTTATAGGGGCCGGGCGGTGGTGGCGCATGCCTTTAATCCCAGCACTTGGGAGGCAGAGGCAGGCAGATCTTTGTGAGTTCGAGGCCATCCTGGGCTACAGAGTGAGTTCCAGGAAAGGCACAAAGCTACACAGAGAAACCCTGTCTCGGAAAAAAAAAAGAAAAGAAAAGAAAAAGACTTATAGGAAGTGCAGAACATCACCATGCTGGGAGTTAATGGAACAGCACTATGGGCAGGCAAGGCAAAGGCTCAAAGTAGAGAATTTGAATTTTGCATGTGTTAAACAGATTTCATTGTTTGCATTTAGTGAGTTCTCTAAGTGTCTAATGCTTTACCTTGCATTCCTGGGAGGGATTCTCCTACCATAATAAGTGTGGTAGCTTTGGAGAATCCCTTAGATCTGAAGTTTCTTTGCTAGGTTTTAGTTTGGAAAAACTTGCTAAAGTCCTGGTGAGCCATTGAGGTCTCAGATTATTACTGATTAGGGATCCATGTGAGAATTTATGTCACTTAATGATTATTTTGTTGAACTGGAGCTCTAAAGCTCCTTGCACCCATATGCCTAGTTCTTACCCTCTAAAGCTATGTAGTGGCTTTCTTCACCTCTTTGACTTGCTTTGGTCTCAAGTCCACTTTTTCAGATGAGACTTGCTGTGCCAAGTCTACAGACTTCACTTACTTGGCCTGCTGATCCCTGGCTGTCAGTTTTTGATGTTCTTGTTTATGAGAGGTGTTTGATGGAGATAAAAATAGTATTTTTCTTGACCCAGCCAGTTAGTCTGTAGCTTTTACTTGGTGAGTTGAAGCCATTTATATTTTTATATTAGTTACTATTTGTGTAATATGTTAACATCATTCAAACCCAGTCCCTGAACATTATGTAGCTGAATATCCCTTCCATGATTGTCATGAGTCACCTGTGGTCATATTGCAGTGGTGGCATATCACACATGTTGCTAGCGTTTTCTGGGATTAATGGCAAAGCAGCACTGGTGTCTGCTGTACAGTCAGCGAGAAAATTCCAGTATGTGTCTGCCTTTAATTCTGCCCTCCCCCCAACATATAAAAGACAGAACCAATTGGTACATATACACAATCAGTATACAGTAATGCTTGTTGTTAAAAGGTCTGTATGGAGCTTTAATCAATATATCTCTACTTTCTATATTATA